CCAGATTGTTAATTGGTATGTTTGCTTTACGCGTTCTTGTGTAAAAAAAAAGAAAACTTTCCTTCTGAAGCTGCATGGTTCAAATGCTCACATGTTAGCTTCCTTGCATTTCTCAAGTTACTCATTTCTTTTCCCTCTCCACAGTGTCCAGAGATATTACAGACAAAGGTTTGCATCCCTCCATGTTATCGCTTCTATTCTCTGCTTGGATGAAAGCATTTGCCTTTGTAGAAATAAGGGGAAGAGCATTTTTGCCCATAGGCTTGCCAAGCTGGTGAAGAAGGCTTTAAAGTACAGATGCTGGGAGGGGGGGGGAACCTTAATCCATCCTGCTTAGATCAATCTGATGTCAATGTCAGCAATAGGTGCTCAGAGCCTAGAGAGATATCACGGGTCAGAGGGAGAGCAGCTATAGAGCAGTACCAAGGAAACCCAGTCAGTAAGTCAGATTCATTGGGGGCACAACTTAAATGCCTTTAATCAAACGCGTGTAGCACGAGGAATAAGCAAGAGAAGCTAGAGGTATGCACACACCTGCAGGGTTATGATCTTACTGGCATCATGGAGCACGTGCTCCTACAACTGGAGCATTGGAAGGATAAAAACTCCTTAGGAAGTACAGGCAGGGAGAAGAGGAGGGGATGTCACCCTTTCTGTCAATGAGCAGTTGGAGTACATGGAGCTCCATCTGGGGATGGACAAGGAGTTGACCGAGAGCTTATGGGTCAGGATTAAAGAGAGGACAGAGAAAGGTGACATTACAGTGACATACAGGCCACATGACCAGGAAAACCAAGTAATATCATAGAATCATAGAATGGCCTAGGCTGGAAGGGACCTTAGAGATCATCTAATCCAACCTCCTTGCCAGAGCAGGGTTGCCTCTCAACTAGAAATGAGGCCCTCTATAGAAAGATAGGAGGAGCCTCACATTTACAAACCCGGGTCCTCATAGGGAACCTCAACCATCCTGATACCTGTTAGAGGGATAGCACAGCTATCAACGTAAAAGGGACATGAACCTCTTGAAGCGAGTCCAAAGGAGGGCCACAAAGATGATCGGGGGGTTGGAGCACCTCCGCTAGGAGGACAGGATGGGAGAGTTGAGGCTGTTCAGCTTGGAGAAGAGAAGGCTCCAGGGACACCTGATAGCAGCTTTTCAGTACTTAAACGGGGCCAACAGGAAAGAACAGGAGGGACTTTTTCAGAGAGTGTAAGTGATAGGACATGAACTAATGGTTTCAAACTGAAAAAAAGGTAGGTTTAGATTACGTATTAGGAAGAAATTCTTTATTATGAGGGTGATGAGACACTGGAACAGGTTTTGCAGAGTAGTTACAGATATCCCTTCCCTGGAAGTGTTCAGGGCCATGTTGGATGGATCTTTGAGCAACCTGGTCCAGTGGAAGGTTTTCCCTGCCCACAGCAGGGTGGTTTGACCTAGAAAGGATCTTAAAGATCATCTAACCCAAACCATTCTTCAATTCTATGTTTTTAAAGCAGTACTAAATATTTTCTTTAGAGGCAGCTAGCAAAAGCTGAGCTAACTTTAGTTTAAAGTCATCAGTAACAAAGAAAGCAATCATGTTTGTAATAATCTGAAATGGAATGGAAAAATGTTATAATATGAAACATCTTACTATTATCTGCAACACCTGACATCAGTTATGGTTTTGTTCGTTCTTATGTATGTGCCTAGAGATTCTCCACTGGTAACTTACTTTTTTTTCACCTTTCCTAATATTTCTATCCAGTTCATCTGAATCCCTTAAGATTGTCTTTTGATAAAATTAGAAGCATAACTGCTTGACAAATGGAAGCATTCGTCTGTAAACATACAATACAATGTCAGCACTTCTGTCATCTGATTTCTGAGCAGAATATAACATGTCAGCTGCAAATAGCTTAAGATCTATCCCATAATGTGGGATTCATCTAACTAAATGTAGATGCAGCTGAGCTAGTCCCTCATTATACTCATCAGGGACGAAGTGAAACTTTCAGAGTTCATTTCACCTCATGCCAAGGTACACACGTTAGGGTCCTTGCATTGTGACCTACCTTCGTGTGTTTTTCTTTACTTATAAAAAAAAAAACAAAACCACACCAAAATATAAAAACCACCACTCACAACTGGAGAAATTGCTCATTTTTCTCCATTCTCTTCTTTTACAAAGAAACTTGGGCTGATTAGCTCAGATGCCTATGCATGTCACAACCAAACTCTCAGGGTAAGTTAGGATTGCCATAACCAGAGGCCACTTCTTTTCTCTAAAACATGACTGAATTTTTACTCAAGTTTCTCCTCAGTCATGCTTTTCTCAAGTGAAGGCCATTAAAAAGTGGACAGTAAATGGCCCAAACTCCGGACTTTCTTCTAGCCTTCTGCAAAGCAGCCCACACAAGCTGCCAAAGTCATTAGTTCCTGTGGAACTGTGCAAGGGTCAAGAGGCCTTTAGAAATCCATTTCTTAAGACACAATCTATGACCATAACGTCAATAAATTAGCTTTACCCTTGACTGAAACAACATGAGAGAGAACGTCCAGCATATTCTTTTACTGACCATCTCCTTGACCTTGGTTTAGCCACTGAGCATAAATGTATCTCTGTTGACAAGGATTAGGATCGTCAATGAAGTCAATGAATATAAGGCATTATTAACAACCCTTCAGAAGTGTGCATAATGACAAAGACAATTTTTTGGTTAAACAATTGTCTTCTGTCTCACATTCACATACTCAGAGCCTTTGCCAGATGTCCTGTTTAAAATTGAACATGACTTTGTGTGTAACCTTCTCCTTAGACTGATAGTGCTGAGCAGTAGCTACCATGTCCCCAGAAGATTTGTCAGCTTGAAAAGTATTTTTGGAAATATGCTAGCCTACATGTTTGGAGGATGTCATTAACCAGACCTGGCATATGAGCTAAACATAGCAACGTTCAATAATGTGCTGTTCAGAATGAAAATGGAAACACTGAGGATGCTGCTGCATGTCAGCACACAGGATGAGAAGGCAAAGGTCACACTGTGAGGCAAAGATGATGGAAGCAAGGCAGCTGGCAGCAGCTCTGATGACAACATCCTCACACTCAGGACTGACATATTCAGCAAAGGTGGACTTGGCTGGTGGCTACATATCACAGAGTGCAGTGCTTTGCCTGACAACGAACTTCAGAGTGCTGGTAAAAAGGGCTGCTAGCCCCACTCTTGAAATCTAGGCTCAGATTAGTAAAAAACTGAAGATATGAGGATTCTGTAAAGTGCAACTACAGTGCTTATACCAAATGGTATACTACTAAGATGATGTTTGGGAATAACAGGGTTTTGACAGGAATCTAAATCCACTTTCTTACTTCCAAAATTACTATGAGCACATCTCCCCTCTCCCCATCACAGAAAAAGAGAAACCAGACTTTGTAAGAAAAAGACCCTACAAATTTATGTAACAATATAAGATTATCAATTATTTATTAAAATTCATCATGGAAATTGCATTCAAATTATGCAGAGTTAAACAATTAGCAAAACAACCTGAAGACACTGAACTATGGAAAATCCTGAAAAACCTCCACAAAATTCTAATAAGGAATTTCTAAAAATTTAACTGGTCTATTGCATTATATATAAACAATGATCACAAAGCAACACTGATAAAAAAATCCCCAAAATCTAAAGCATACTAGACAGGTCTAAGAGTTTATCCGTTTCATGTTGAGTTATCGGTAACTTGGTTAAAACCAGCATTTTTAAAAACTATACTGCTTGCCTATATACATTTTAAGATTTGAAAAAGTTCCTTTGTAATAATAATTCTTTGACATTTTGCTTCTGAGCATTTTAAGACTTGCAGCTTATAGTTTCTCTGATCTTTATTAATGTTGGAAACTGCTTGCGTTTAAGACTGCATAAATAAATATTTTTGACAATTAGTTCATTTTAATTACTTTAAAGCAAAAAGAACATCCATAAAAACTAAATAAATGAACATTTAATTATGGAAATTTGCTATTGATTACTACAAATTACTTCTAGAATGGGCATGTTCTTTTACTACTCTTAATTATTGTAATTAAGATTTTTGCATGTTAATTAGAACTGTTTTGGCATAGCAAATTCCACCTCTGTATCTTTCAAAGTAGGTGAGCACACACATTCTTAAGCACTTTTTTTCTAGACCTAGTATGCGTAAATAAGGAAAAGAACTCAGAGTGTGATCAAATTAAAAAGGGGCATAATTCTATAAAGTCAAAATTAACATAAAACCAATTTAGACTTTTTTTCTGTTAGAGAATTAGCTATCTCAGCCAGAAGCATACAAATTGAAACATTCATGAGATATTTCAGTAACACACTGAAAATACCTGAGAAGGAATATGATTTCTATAATCATAAATGGCATGACTAAGTAAAAAAAAATAAATATATATATTAAAGAGAAATCTAACCTCATTTTAACCTGAGGCATGAAAAATAACATATCCTAACCTGAAAAAAACCCCACCCTAGATTATTTGCCAGTGAATAGCTCATAGACCAGCTAATGGTGTTCCCATTCTTACTTTAATTGCCCCAACAGTTTTATCTTTGTAGCCTCTCCAATCTGTAAATTTTAATTATTTCTCAGGAAGCCTGTTAGAGACTGGATGTAGAATGCCTTCACTCCAAGAGTCTCACTCTCTGAGCTGCAGCGAGCTGAAAGTCTGCACATCCTAAATTAGAGTGGGAAACTCACAAGCCCTGGGACTGAACGTGGCCTCCAACTTTACAGCATGTCACTGGGGATCGTATCATTTTTTCCTTCTGCATTACTTCTGACTAACACTCTGCTAGGCTCTAATTTATGGCCTACCAGTGCGTCTGAAAGAGCCATTTGGCCCTCACTAAGGGAAAGGATATTCCGACTGAGTACATAAAAATCTACTTTGTGCCCTCCTAAGTCTTCCATGGAAACTGTGGCTTGCTGAAGCAGACAGTAACTGTTAGAGTAGTGTACTTACTGCATTGAAGTTGGGGAAGAGATTGACTGCTGCGGCAGTGTCCAGAGGAAAGGGGAGAAATGGTTTAATATCCAACGATGGCTGCAAAGGTGGAGCAGGAGGACGCACTAGGGCTGGAAGAGCAGGGCTCTGGCATGTACCACCTGAGCAAAGAAAGAGACAGAAGGCATTCAGCAAGTACTAGGATTAGGTGGGGGGAGGGAACAAAAAAGCCAGCACAAAAAAGCAACAATAAAAAGCCAATATTGGATTAAATAATGAAGTAAATAAATACTTTTTTATTTGTCCACAAATTATGATGTTACTGAAAAAAAAGCACAGCTGACTCAGCGACTGTTGATTATCATTTTTGCCAGTATTTCAGGTATCAATCTATCATTATTTAAAAATAGTTAATAAATAATTTCTCTCTCTGAATTTTCTAGAACAATAACTTAGCATATGTCTGATTTCTCTTTAGAACTTCAGCTAGTCTCATTTAATTTCAGTGTTTCATCCCGATCCTACTGCTCAATCTTCCAAAGTAAACTGCTCCAAAAGAAAAAGAACAACAAGCTGTTCAGCTCAGCAAAAGTCATGTCATTTGCAGACTTTTGGGTTTTTAATTAAGTGCTTACTTGTAGAGCTTACAGCTTCAAAATCAACCTAAACCTCACACAGACAACTTACTTTACTGTCTCAGCAGTTGATCAATACAAATCTAAACTAAGAACAATTTCATCATCTGCTGAAAGCCTGTTTATGGGAAGGTACAACCAACCACATTCTTGCCTTGCAAGGGGTGGAGCTGATTCAGACTCTGTGCAGCACAAAGCTCCTCCTGGCTAAGGCTTCCAACCACCAGCTCTGGGGGAATGCAATGCAAATGAAGGAATCCCCTTGCATACCAATAAGTCTCTACCTGTTTGCAGCTGACCCTCTTTTACTCATTTGTTTGCCCCTTGCCACAATCAGCTAAAAGCTGGAAGTATCCAAGCCCATTCTCTGCTTCCAATGTCTCCCAGGTTTTGGTTGCACTCCAAAACATCAATTTCTTGTTAATTAAAGACTATTTGGATCCTAGGAAACTGTTAAAATATGCCAGTGTTGTTCTAATCTGAGAGGCAGGCAACAGACTGCAAAAACCTGCTGGTAAGATTCCAAGAAACATTAAGAAAAAAAAAAAAAGTAGGGGGAGTTTTACCCCACTCATTGAACAGAAACACAGGCAGACAGACCAACAGAGGGAAAGGGATCAGAAATCCGTTTCTTTTTTTCCTCTCGTACATATGGACACTTCGTTAGACAAGCTGCATACGTTCTTTAAGAGGCCAAACATAAAGCAGTCAGAATGATATACAGAATCTCTCCTTATTTAGCCAGCAAATCTGCTAACAAGATTTGCAATTTAATGCACCTGAGAGCTAACAGCACAGGATTTAATTAACCAGTTGTAGCAGATCATCCACAGTTCTGCTCCTAGGTGTAAAATTTGCTAGAGCCAAATTTTCAGACAGTATTTTTTGCCAACTTTCAGGTCCTCTGTGAAGCATTTTACTAAGAATCATTGAAATGAAAACATTACCCACTAGTAAATCAAAGGTATTGGATGACAAACAATCTCATACTAGTTTTTGCCCTACAGTAACTGTCATTTTTGGAGTAATTTCTACATTTACTTCAATGTAAGAGCTTACCAAATCACTCTTGGAATGCAGCAGCTAGGGATATGGTCAACAGAAAAGCAGAGGGCGAACAGCTCTGTTTTCCATAGCTCACCACCACAGAATCATCAAGTATTTAATGATTGCCATCGGTTTGGCAATTGCTACGTTCCCATGGAATTAGTACAAAAATGATATAACAGTAACAGGGCAGAATGATGATAAGCTAGTGAACAGGCCAATCTTACCCTCTCTGAATAGAAAAGACCTGTAAAGAGATTTATTAGATGCTGGAAATACTTAATTTTTCTCACATAAAGCTTTTACAGACCATGATGGGAAGAAATCACTGCTAACAAAAACCCTACTGAGAAGTCTCCAGGTTGCTCCTGAGACTGTGCAGAGTCACACAGAAATGCCAAGGCAAGCATTTGCATAGCAAGAGCAAAGAATTTGGAGCTATTAAACATCCTGCAACTCGACGAGGCAAATGTGGACTGAGAAATATCACCTGTGCTTGGACCCCCAGCTCATCAAGAATATTCTCAGTGCTATGAAGGAGAGCCTTGAAGGTTTGGATTACCTAGTGCAACACCATTGCTAGTCTATACTCTTCTAGGATCCCATGCCTTGGGGGATGAAATATTTCTATTCTGTGATCCTTCTCTGGGGCATGACTAGGCACTCACCCACCTGCTGCTGCCAGACAGTGCTGCACAAAGTCATCTGGGGACGAAAACACACTTTAAAAGGAAAAAATCAGCCAGTTCTTGGCTGGAACTCAGAGCCTCTGGAACAGTTTAAAGTCTACCACAGTTCTGGCTACAGTGGCACAGAGAATGAGTATGTTCAGGAGCACAGCTGCTCTCTGTTTTTGCAATAGTGTCAGACAAGTCCCTTAACAACGGGACATGTGATAGGTATCATGAAATTTAAACTTTTGCTTGAAAGAAAATCTCTAATGTTTATGGCTGCAAAAATTAGCTTCTTTTTCCATTTAACATGCTCAGAGTTGTAGTCTAGAAACAGTAACAGAAAACCTGAAGCAATGGCAATCCATTTCATGACTCGGCTTAACTGAAAAATCTTTTTGCCAACACCTGGAAATATCAATGCTAGTTATTTCCAGTCTAATACATTAGCAGAGGGATAGAGAGTGAGTAGAAGCCCATTGGGAAGAGTTCCTGAAGAGCATATGGAGATAAATTCTGATTATAAAGAAGACAGTATCAGGGGCAGAAGGAAAACATGAGAACCATGAGAGACAATCTGAGTGTAGAGAAATGCACTAAAACTTATAAAGCAAAATTTACTTTATAAATAAGCAGTACTATGTATGATAAGAGCATACTTAAAAAATTACTATAGCAAGACGTGTCCTTTTTAGCTACAGTGTTCTGGAACCCTGGATAAAGGTGCAGGACATCACAATTAAAGAGGAAGTGTTCAGTGACCTGCTATATCACTTAGATGCACAAAAGTCTATGGGGCCAGAGGAGTTACACCCAAGGATGCTGAAAGAGTTGGCAGACGTGTTCAGCAAGCCACTTTCCATTATTTACCTGAAGTCCTGGCTAACTGGGAAGGTCTCAATGGACTAGAAGGTAGCAAATGTAACACCAATCTACAAGAAAGGCAGAAAGGAGAATCTAGAAAACTATAGAACTGTCAGTCTGACTTCGGTACCAGGGAAGGTCATGGAGTGCCATTAGACATCATATGGAGGACAACCAGGAGATCAGGCCCAGTCAGCAGGGGTTTATGAAAGGCAGGTCCTGCCTGACGAGCCTGATCTCCTATGACAAGATGACCTGACTATTGGATGAGGGAAAGGCTGTGGGTATTGTCTACCTAGAATTCTGAAAAGGTTTTAACACTATTCCCCACAGAATTCTCATGAGAAAACTGGCTGCTCATGGCTTGGATGAGCATATGATCTGCTGGAGAAAGCACCAGCTGGATGGACAGGCCTAAAGAATGGTGGTCAATGGAGTTAAATCCAGCTGGTGGTGGGTCACAAGTGTTCCTCAGGGCTCAGTGTTGAGACCTTTTCTGTTCAACATCTTTATTGATGATCTTGATAAGGACATAGAAGGTATCATCAGTAAGTTCACAGATGACACTGAGTTAGGTGGGAGTGCTGATCTGCCTGAGGGTAGGGAGGCTCTACAGAGAGACTTGGACAGATTGGATCGATGAGCCAACGTTAAATGGTATGAACTTCAACAAGGCCAAGTGTCAGGTCCTGCACTTGGGCCACAACAACCCCATGCAGCACTACAGGCTTGGGGAAGTGTGGCTGGAAAGCTGTCTGGCAGAAAGGGCTGAATAGGAGCCAGCAGTGTGCTCAGGTGGCCAAGAAAGCCAATGGCATCCTGGCTTGTATTAGAAATAGGGTGACCAGCAGGAGTAGGGAGGTGATTGTCCTCCTGTGTTTGGCACTGGGGAGGCCACACCTTGAGTATTGTGCCCAGTTTTAGGCACCTCAATACAAGAGAGATATCAAGGTGCCAGAGCGAGTGCAGAGGAGGGCAAAAGAGCTAGTGAAGGGCCTGGAGAAAAAAATCTTATGAAGAGCAATAGAAGGAGTTGAGGTTAGTTAGTTTGAAGAAGAGAAGGCTAAGGGGAGACCTCATAACTCTCTACAATTACCTAAAAGGATGTTGTAGACAGCTTGCTGCTGGTCTCTTCTCACAGGTAATTGGCAATAGAACAAGAGAGAATGGCTTCAAACTGCAACGAGGTAGGTTTAGACTGGACATTAGGAAGAATTTTTTCACAGAAAGAGTAGTCAGACATTGGAATAGGCTGCCCAGGAAGGTAGTTGAGTCACCATCCCTGGAGGCATTTAAAGATCATTTAGATGTGGTATTGGGGGACATGGTTTAGTGGTGAATGTTACAGAGTAGGGCTAATGGTTGAACTCAATGATCCCAAGGGTCTTTTCCAACCTGAATGATTCTACGAACCATAAAGATGGCTTATGATGGTTTTCGTGTTCTGTATGATAAGCTTCAACATAAAGATCTCCATAGATGCAATATTGCTAATCAACACACAGCTCGATGTCAGTCTTTTTACAGACTTCCTACCAGCAAGGTTTGGAGTTGCACTTTGACCAATAAAAATAGGATAACACCCCACACCACTGATGGGCTTTGTCCATAGCTTGTGCTTGATGCTCTGTATTATTACCCGAAGCTCACATAGACATCGTTTCCACAACCTAGATGCGTGCATAACCTGACTTGAGACGTTAACATTCCCCCCAAAATGTAGGGCATTAAAGGTCTGAAGTTACATTTTATGAACAGTGTGTTGCAATTTCTTAAAATAGGACAATACGAATGTATTTACTAGCTCCAGTGTTACAAGTTAGTGATGTTGTAATCTAACATCTCCTTAAAGAGGAAGAGTCTTTCCAGCTTGTTCGGATTCTAAATGGGAGTTGAACGCTCTAGACATTTGGTAAGTTAATGTCGATGCTTTTACTTGAATTT